GAGAGAGAGAGAGAGAGAGAGAGAGAGAGAGAGAGAGAGAGAGCGAGAGAGGGGGTGAGAGTCGCGGAGAGGGAGAGGGTGAGTGGGAAGGCGAGAGAAGTAACTGTATTAGAAGGATTATGTGCATCCATGCCTCTGTGTGCGTGCCGTTTGTGCCGTACGTGCGTTTGTCTGCGCGTGTGACTGCGCATGCGTGTGCACATCTCTGTCTGCATTCCTTCCTCCCTCCCTCCGTCTCTATCTCCTTTCTTTCCTATTTCCTTCTTCCTCCCCTCTCACTTCCTTCCCCTCAGTATTTCCCTTCCCCTCTCGCGGATAGTATCGCCCACGGCATCAGGTGCACTGTGAAAAGTTTGCCAGGCAAATGGCTGGTTTTCAGCCTCAACTTTTTCACCCCCCCAAAGCACAAAATGTGGGGATACGGCTATAATACGCGTTTTTTACAGTCACACAAACACACATACACACACACTAACGGACGCGCACACGCAGGTATGGTAGCACACACGCGTGCGCGTGTATTATAGGCGTAAATTCACATTTTGTGCCTCGGGGAGTGAAAAAGTTTCGGCGGAAATACGGTCATTTGGTTGGCAAACATTTCACCGTGTTCTTGACGCCGTGGGCGATACCATCCGCGAAAGGGGAGTAAGGAATAAGTGATTCACTGTTAATGTTACTGCCTGACACAGCAGATGAAAGGTCAGCATAAAGAACCGGCAACTGTTTATTATTATTTTTATTAAATCTTTATTGCATGTAATTCAACTACAAATACATGTATTGAAGACAGTCTTTTTCATGAAGAAAATATCTGATAAATGCAATAGTGTTGAGCAGTTAAAATAATAAAATTTCCGAGTGATACAGTACATTGTGTGATATATAGTTCTGAGTGACGCATGTCACATAAAAGCTATACATATTGTCACAGGACCGTCACATGAATCTACGTGAATGACGATATGAAACGACTATTGTGTCCATCGGCAATCGGCGAGCTATAGCGGCTGTTTAATCTGCTGTCGGCACTCGTGTAAAACAACAATTTTTACTTTATATATGAATCTAAGGTATATATGATGACTCTAAAAATCTAAAACTACTTGTCACTGATTACTATTGAAAAAAACACGTCACTGAAATGTCCTTGAAAACTCATTGAAAAAATAATTGTGGGAACCATGTTAACGCATGCGCACGCACGCACGCGCACGCACGCACACACAGACATACAGTCACACGCGTGCGCGCTGACGCGCACGCAGATACGCACGTACACGCTCACATACTTGTGTGAAAACTGTATATATATATATATATGTTCCGCATCCCCATTGCATTGTATCATTCACTACACTGATGTCTGCGGTACATTTCAAAAGGTCCGTATAAGGCCCATATAAGCCCTAGATGATTATGTTTTTAGGAAATTTATTAAAATAATTAAATAATAAACGTTAGATAAAAAACCCCATCCCCGACATACCATGATACAACCATCACCCTCACCCCCTAATGTATGGCATTGTCCACAACTCCAAGGGATGCGGCACATATCAAAGGGATAGTACGGTAGATGACCACCAGGTCGTTGGCCTTTTTTAAGCCAAAACTTTTTCGCCTGTGAAATGTACTATTTGTGTAATGGGGAACCGGCAGAACTAATCCGCTGAGGCGTTAGTGGCTTATAATTGTTGAATTTGTCGATACAGAATGAAATTTTGCAGGGAAAGCTGCTCATATACACGTGCGCCATGATTTTCGTACAAATTCGTGACTAGTTTTATTAAATTTTGGGATTTGTAGCTCTTATTATTACCGCACTGTACTGGTGCCCGACGGTACTGGATTGTGGTCATTATACGCCCTAGATCTGCCTGCTACAGATAGATAGATTCTTTAGATAATGAAAGTGTCAATGACACTGTAGCTCACCACAAAAAAGGACACAAATGAGTGAGTAAGAAGAAGTCAGTTTTAATTGAGCAACCATCGACGTACATTATAGAAACGATTGCCATCTGTATATCGCAATAATAATTTATAAACCAAAATGAATCACAATTTGTGACCGTAGATGGCGCTATACCCGCTTTGTAGCGATGGCGCTTGAAATAAATAGGTTATGCTGCGTTCCGACATGTTTTGTAAATCTTTACTCTAATATAGACGTTTTATCGGCAGAGTGGAGAGGAAATACCAATTTTGCATTAAAGATATTGTCAATGAAATCTTGTAAAACGAACAAGACGAGTGTGACACCACAGACTGTTTGTGTTTATATAATATGCTATATAATTGCCAAACCCTACCTAATTTGCACCTTTTTTTTTTAAATATCAAAACCCCTAGCCCTTATTCATTCACATACCAAAAATGAGCAAAATCCGTTGAACCTGAACTGACTAATGGCAATTCCCATTTTTGCCAAAAAATTGCCGTGGCTCGAAAGTACGTCGACTGGCGTGCTTCAAAATAGGACGTTCCATATGGGAGCATAGCAGTAAGAACTACACCCAATTTCAAACATGTGGGTCAAACGGTTCCTGAGTTATCGTTGACCGAAACCAAATGTTGACGGACGGACGGACGTACGACAGACGACGACCCATGGCAATAGCTCAACTTGACGATGTCAAGGTGAGCTAAAAATTGTGTTAGATTAACCGATCCACACTTAACGGCTGTCTCCCACTCCTCTACTATCTATTTCGATTAAGATTATACGAGAAACTTGATGATATTATTGCCGATTTTCAAGGCAAACATCCAAAACCCTCTGCAATAAGTTCTTGTGCTCAGTGAACAACAATAATTGTGAAGAATTATGATACAGTAAAAGGAGAGATGATTGTTGTGACAGTATCTATCATAAAATATTATATAAACCTCGTACATATATAAGTGCGTTAGTTATTGTAGGCCCTTACGGGAGTATACTGCCCCGCATACTCACGCACGCACGCACGCACGCACGCACGCACGCACGCACGCACGCACGCACGCACGCACGCAGGCACGCACACATGACTGCACGCACACGCACGCGCTGAGAGTAAAAATCCATGTATAACTATGAATACATAACACCAAAGTCAGCACTAAAAGCAACGGTGATATGAGATAAACATGTACTGTTCATTTTATTTAACTGACAGCATAAATTTGAAATACACGTCGGTCCTCTACCTGACACAGGGTGTATTTTACAGCTGTATGGGTTACATGAACACATCACCAACAAGCTGGGTTGCATTAGTATGTGTCTTCCCTATCTTACAGTGTTATTTACAAACATCAGGCTTAGCTACGTCGGCACAATACACATTACAGTCAGCACCCGCACTGTACACAATTCTTTACAAACATGCAATTTTTTTCATGTCAGAAGAGTAGCATTTATGATGAAAACGTACAACAGCAATGTTCTAAATACGTCAGAGTGGTGGTGCTGGTGGTGGTGGTGGTGCTGGTGGGATGGTGGTGGTGGTGACGCGGCAGAGAGGAGGAGGGAGGAAAAGGGAAACCCCGCGCACCAAATTGAAAGCGAATCAAAAAACCATTCCCATCTAATGACGTCACCTCGATGACGGCGTGACGTCACTGAACACTGACCGCGCGCCTTCACCAACGCCTGACGTCGCACCTGCGCCACTAGCTGCAGAATATCAAACAATGACTACCACGTGTATGTGTGTGCACTTACTAAATTATCTGTAAGATATACCGTTTCAGAGAGAACCCTCTGCAATAATCAAACACTTCAATTCTTCAGCTTCTTTACACGAACAAAACGACACGTCAACAACTCCGCGCAACAACAGCAACATATCAGCAATTCATCGTCGGCAAACTTCGCAGCCATCCATCACAGTATGACCACGATAATAAGCAGTGAGAGAGCCAGTGATAGCAGATAGCCTCCTGCTGCTCCTGCTGCTGCTGCTGCTGACGCGAGAACACAAACAATGTAAGAGGGAATAAGCAGTAAAGTCGGTAACAATAGGTTATTATTCGGTTATCATTACATCGTAAATCCACATCACTTTACACCCCGGGACCCCGTTTTTTCCAACACAAAATAAAACGATAGCTTTTATTCTCTCTTTCTCTCTCTCTCTCTCTCGCTCACTCTAATATCTACACGTTATATGATGTTTAAAGAGTTGTGTGTGTGTGTGTGTGTGTGTGTGTGTGTGTGTGTGTGTGTGTGTGTGTGTGTGTGTGTGTGTGTGTGTGTATGTGTGTGTGTGCGCGCGCGCGACAAGGTGCTAAATGCCGTGTGATAAACAGCCAATGCCTGCACTTGCATACAGCCGAGAAAACACAGAGTAGTCGCAGTATCTGCATGGCAATGCAAGCCGCTTAAGAATATCAGGTTCTCTCGCGACGTATACCATGTACCTTTTATTAAACCAGGCGGTACATTATTACACGTACATACAAGGTTATATTTAGTGTATGATATACGATGACAAGTGCGTCAAAACTCTCTCGACAGGCGACTCGCAGAGAACGAACGCGTCTTAAATAACAAATCCGCACGCCGCACGCACATAATCCGCATCTGGGGGGCCGTCACGCAGACCGGGATTCCGGATCCGGGACCCCCGATACGTAGAGTTCCACACGGGGGAAAGGGAGAGATTACCTCGGGGGGACAACAACTCGTTAGACGCGCCCGCCCACCGCCGAAATTTCGTTGGTTTCGAACGAGAGCAGCTAGACACGCAGCCGGTGCCGAAACATTGGCAGTAACTGCCTGCGAACATGAACGCACGCACACTCGATCCGCACGAACACTAACCAGTCTCTTTCTCTCTCGAGATGATGTTGCGTTCTAAAACATCCACGTACATACGTAGGGGGGTTTTGTGACCGACTGCAACACTTCAACACGACGTCGCCGCGTTAGGAAACGAAACACACCGCACTGCCGCACACCAGCCAGCCAGCCAGCCAGACAGACAGACGCGCGCCGGCAGCGGCTAGCCGCGGATGTACGAGCAGCTGACCAAGCAGCCTAACGACGCGACCGACCCGCCCTCTCCCGGCGTATTAACTAAACTGACCACCAGGGGGAAAATTCGACGCAATTAATAAGCCCTGCGAGCAAACGACGAGCCACGGCGACAGTCGCACTACGTGCGTTTCCATCGACGCGCGCGACTGGCATCAGTTCTCTCCTCCATCGGCTTTTTTTGATTTTACACAAGCTGCAATGCCGACACCAGAGAGGGCGCACGCAGAGAGTACAGCTACTCGCGCGAACTGCGGGGCTGACACTAGGGGGCGTTACTGTCAGGAGATCAGGTTATGTCGGCTGTGGGGCTGACGACCGTGCCTCATCGCCCAGCGTAGCCAGAGATAATAATAATAACAATAATAATAATAATAACAATAATTACGTAGAAGATAGGTGCCTGGTTTAGCTGCTGGTTCAGTGTCGCACCGCCACCGTACATATGGCCGTGCGTTACCGGTCACCCGTGGCCTGTGACGTGGGAGCGATATTGCACGGCAGCCACGCTATCAAGTACTTCAGTCAGCAGCTCTGTCCTAGCAGCTATGTATGGATGCGTAGCTGTAGTGGGGTGGGGGTGGGTGCATGTCTGTTACCACGTGCCGATACTAATCAATACAATGACTGTGATATCGATTGATTATGTTAACATTTCGTTCTCGACACCTGAATGCCAATTCTCTCTCTCTCTCTCTCTCTCTCTCTCTTAACAGCCTTTGCTTATGGAAATCCAGCATTTTACTAGATTTTTTACCGGCACGTGCAGTGAAAGAAGACTAACGACGAGACTATCGACATTTTGAATCGCATCTCCCCAAGTCAGTATGCATTCTTGCCGACTTCTGAAACAGAGAGTTGCTACAACTAGTCAAACCTTCTCCGCGACACACGACGAAATATCGCAACCGCGATCTCGCGCTGAATGATGAACTCCAGAGAAGAGGCAGGCTTCCGAATTTGCGCAAATGCTTCAAACATGGCTTCTCTCTCGTCGTCGTCGTCGTCGTCGTCTCTCTCGGCGACAGACGAATAAGCAATAACTCGCTCCCATAACGCCTCGATAACGGGCGTCATCATGCGAGCGTAAATTCTTCCGATGCGTCGTGCGGCGCGCGTTACGACGTGTCGAGGCCAGGCTGCAGCGCGCCGACTGAAACACTTGCCACGCAGTAGAGGAGAGATCGCCGCCGCGAAGTGGCATGTGGAATGTCGCGGAGCATTCCGGGGGTAACCGTGACAACGTGAGCGCCGGGACGAATGTCGTGGAGCATTCCGGGGGTAACCGTGACAACGAGAGTGCCGGGAGACGAATTTTGGCGACTGCTCTCGTTCGGTTTTGTTATCGACACGCATTTGTATACGAACGTGGAGTTTTAATGTAGATGCCGACTATTAAAAGAGTGTTACTTGCGACCAGCGGCTCCGTTTGAGAATAAAGCCGATGGATTCTCGTAAACCGCAGCTGCTCCCATGAAAGCAGCAGCGTATGAGTGTTCCGGCAAAACACGGTGCCATTAAACACAACCGCGACTGTACGCCGGGCACGTGTGCGTGCATGCTCGCGCGCATGCGTGGCTGTGCGCATGTGCGTATATGTGTGCGTGCGTGTGCGTGCGTGCATCTGTGGGTGTGTGTATGGTTATCCATGTGCATGTGGTTGTGTGTGTGCACGTATGCGCGCGCGAGCATGTGTGAGCATGTCCGTGCGCGAGCGGGTGTGCGAGCAGGCGTGTGCGCGAGTGTGGGTGCGAGCGTTCGTCCGTCTGTGTCCACGGTCACATCGACAGTTCCACTGGTCATGCGCTCCACTGTGTCAATCCAAAGCCACATAAAGGTGATTGATTAATTATTCGTTTAGAGGGAGAAACACTGAAAAACTGGCCTACGCTTTACCGGAACAGCCGCCCCCGATGACCGACTAATAGAGTGAAACATGGACCTTTCGTCGTGTCGACTCTCGTACAATTCTCTATGAAGTGATCGGTTTCACTGATGAATTCAGCTTGCGCGATTTGTTGTCTATATGCCTGTTGACGTTGCAGTTCACTTCCAGCTCGGCCAGCTTGCGCCACAGCTCCTCTCTCTCCTTCTCCTTCTTCCTCTCTCTGTGTGAATGTGCAAAGAAGGAGAGGCGTGTTACAGAGAGACTAAATTACAGGGTACTGCTTGATTGCATGCTATTTCACTCTTTTTCGCTGTCTTCCCTTTCCCTTCTCTTTCTCTCTCCCTCACTCTTTCACTCTTTAATTCTCTCCTACGTGTTCTCTCGTCCCCCTCTCTCTCTTCCCCCCTCTCTTCCCCCACTCTCTCTCTCCCTTACTCTTTCACTCTTTATCTCCTACGTGTTCTCTCGTCCCCCTCTCTCTCTTGCTCCCTCTCTTTCCCCACTCTCTCTCTCCCGCTTTCTCTCTCCCTTACTCTTTCACTCTTTATCTCCTACGTGTTCTCTCGTCCCCCTCTCTCTCTTGCTCCCTCTCTTTCCCCACTCGCTCTCTCGCTTTCTCTCTCCCTTACTCTTTCACTCTTTATCTCCTACGTGTTCTCTCGTCCCCCTCTCTCTCTTGCTCCCTCTCTTTCCCCACTCGCTCTCTCGCTTTCTCTCTCCCTTACTCTTTCACTCTTTATCTCCTACGTGTTCTCTCGTCCCCCTCTCTCTCTTGCTCCCTCTCTTTCCCCACTCGCTCTCTCGCTTTCTCTCTCCCTTACTCTTTCACTCTTTATCTCCTACGTGTTCTCTCGTCCCCCTCTCTCTCTTGCTCCCTCTCTTTCCCCACTCGCTCTCTCGCTTTCTCTCTCCCTTACTCTTTCACTCTTTATCTCCTTAGGCGACGTCCGGATCGCACGGTCTGTTCCGAAGCCACGAAAAATTGTTCGGATTACATATATACATATCATAATTATATATATATATATATATATACGTTTGGCGTTTTGTCTCAGTGTGTAGTGAAAAGTCCTGTATAGAACGAGCACATTAAGAAGAATGGACGCTTGGGTTTTCATTTGAGTGGCAGTTTATACGGAGAAAATGTCTGGAATATACGGAGAGCGAACAGATGCTTGTCTAGAAGGGACACTTC